AGGAGTAGTAGTAGTAGCAGCAGCATCAGCAGTAGCAGTAGCAGTAGCAGTAGCAGCAGCAGCAGCAGCAGAGGATGGCTGCTGCTACTATTCACATTAGACATTAGCGTTATTGTTGCGATTCTCCCGTATCACGTTGCTGAAAATTTACTGCTGTTGTGATGCCGTTGGTCATGATGTTGGTTCTGGTTGTGGTGAAGTTGTCGACTCTTCTTTACTCGCCCACGTCCATCCAACAAGGTTGTGCATGGTCTTTGCCAGGAGCCAGAGACATCAGATCCGTAGGCAGCATGAGTTTCCAACCTCCCTTCGAGGCAGATGCTCGTGTCGGCAGACCACCTGGTGCTTCGGGGCAGTTTCTCCGCATGCTTAGCATCAATGATGTATATGTCCTGGATAACTATGCAAATTTAGCCTCGGCAGTCCTGACACACCGAAAGATGGGTGAGTCTCTGGGATGTGTCGTGACATCGCACTTGAACGGGGACTTCCTGTCCCCTTGCCTCCAGACTGCCCTGGATGGTGGAACTGCTATGATGCAGGGCTTGAATTACGGAAAGCTGGATTATGCGTGCCTGGGAAACCACGAGTTTGACATGGACAAAAGGCAGCTTGAGACGCGGCTGCCACTTTTCAAAGGCCTGGACGAGGGTGGGGGGCGGGGTGCGGCTCCCAAGTTCAGTCTCAGGTTTCCTTTTGACCGATGGCATTACAGGGGTTTGTTTTGCGGCTAGCGCTGCCCCGTTCTGATGGAGGTTTTCTGCAATGCGCGAACCCTGCCGTCACTCCCGTACCAGCCCCACCAAGACCAAGAGCAGTCGACAAAGTCGGAGGTGGACTCCGGAGACCTAAACCCTAAACCCCAAACCCTAAACCGTCGAGGCCCCGGTGTCTGGACCCTGGAACCCTGAATGCAGAACTCTGCTCTTCCCCTTAGCCTAGAAGCTCTAAACTCCGAAACCCGCAGCCCTTTAAACCCGAAACCCGAAACCCAAAGCCCTCAATCCTCCACCCCAAACCCCAACCCCAAACCCTAAACCCTAAACCCTAAACCCTAAACCCCAAGCAGAGAGGCAACCGAAAATCCGAAACCGGACGTCTCGAGTCAATGCAGGCAAGCTCGTGAACACAAACGGCGAGGACGCCGAGTTGCGCAGCTTACCCAAGTACCTCGGTGGCACGGTTTATGGTTTTGAGCTTGGGTGTGAAGTTTTCATGTCTACTTCTGGTCCGAACCCTAAATCGTTCAGGACGCCCTTCCCCTCAACCCTATGTAAACCGCAAACCCTAGAATTCTGTAACATCAGTACAATAATCTTCCCTAAACCCTAAATGCTAAACCCTAAGCCCTAAGCCCCTAAACCTCTAAATCCTAAACCCAAAACCCAAACCCCTAAACCCTAAACCCACCCAGGTACGACATTCTCGAGGTTGGCAGCCGAAAGGTTCTCATGGCTGGTCTCTGCACTGGAGACAAGTCGATCTACTCTGAGACGGGGCGTGATTGGTGCCGCTTTTTGTTTTGTGGGTTTAGAGTTTGGAGTGCAGGGTTTAGGATTTCATACTTGTAGCTGTTTAGGGTTTGGAGTGTAGGGTTCAGGATTTCATACTTGGTGGCTGTTTAGGGCTTGGAGTATAGGGTTTAGGATTTCATACTTGTAGGTGTCTAGGGTTTGGAGTATCGGGTTTAGGATTTCATACTTGTAGCTGTTTAGGGTTTGGAGTATATGGTTTAGGATTTCATACTTGTAGTGACCTAGATGGGGAGGTACAAGGCTTATTGTTTTCAGGGCGTGCCGGGTACAAGCCAGGGTGAGTAAACAACATGTGGGTAGTTCTCTAAATTAGGATCCCTTTTTCGTGTCCCTTTTATTGTAAGGGTGCCGTACTATATTGGGGACCTAGAGATGCCACCCTAATTTGGAGAACTACCCGTGCTCATTGGTTCAATTTGTGACATGGTGGTGCTGCAGTACAGGGCAGCTCAGGAGAAAGGCTGTCCGACAATGCTCCCATTCCTGGACTCTTGCTTGACGGCTTGGAAGGCAGGCATCATTTTGAGTTTTGGAAGGAGTTTTGAAGCATACACACACAGGTAAGAGCAGGTGTCTCGAGTCAATGTTCAACAGGCACATCATTGATGGAGGAGGGCTCAATTTGATTTGCCTAAGCTTGAAGCTTAACGTTATGGTGGACTGATTCGTCAGTGATGCTCCATCCGCCGTTTCCACGTGGAAAAATTGAAAGCTTCTACAGCACCCTAGACCCGAAACCACAAATCGCGTGGTAGCTAGCAGCAGAAAGTTGCGCATCGGATCGCTTCGAGCGTTCTTCGACACGACACCCAGAAGCCACAGCGTCTGAAGCCGAAGCAAAACGTCCTTCACAGTCGGCCGCCGGGGAGAAGCCCGACATCCTCGTGCCCATGACGCACCAGCTCATCGAGGAAGATCGCTCTTTCGCCTTGGAGATACAGAAGGACCCCACCTTGAAAGGGAAGGCGCAACCGGGGCTTGCAGGACTAGGAATAGCTGGTAAGAGAGTAGGGTTTCGGGTGTTTGCTAGTATCACAGTGGACCTTGAGCATGAACCTTTCGTCCCTGAACCCTCAGCCCCTGCAAACAGGTGCCTGTGATCTTGGGCGGCCACGAGCACACTGTCTTCGAGGAACGCGCGGGCGATTCCTTGATTGTCAAGACCGGCCAGGACTAGCGTTCAGGGTATTTGGGACTTTCCGAAAATTAGGGTACCTTATTTTGGGGTCCTTATCATAAGGATCCTACTATTTAGGGTATTATATTAGGGTCCCCTATTTTCGGAAACCCCCATTTGGGTTTCTTACAGAAACCTTACAATTTCAACCTTGAGGGTTGGGGATCCAGGTTGAGGCAGGGCTTTAAGGTTTAGGGGTTTAGGGTTGGGGTTAAAGGGCTTTAGGATTAAGGTCGAGGCCCATTCAGGGTGTCCATGAGAGTGAATATGGAAAAGGGCGTGAATCTTGGATTCAGAGACTCGAGCTCAAGCCCAGAAGGCTCAGAAGAGTTGACAGGTGAAACCCGGATTTGGGGGATGCCAGTTGAGGAGTCTAAACCCTAAACGCTAAACCCTAAACCCCTAAACCCTAAACCCTAAACCCCTAAACCCTAAACCCTAAAATCTTCAGCCAGACAAGAAGCTCCCCAGGTAACCTCAACCCGCGTCAAACCTCATCACTTCAAAAAGCCAGAGCTAAATCCAAAGCCCTGAAAGCCCTTAAGGCTCTTAAGAACCCCAAAAAGGGCTCCAAAACGCCCTAAAGCCCTCAAGCGCTAAAGCCCCGCAAAAACGCGACGACCCTTTCGACGTGTCCCGCGTGGCCTTCGACGTGTCCCGCATGGCCTTCCAGGATGGTGCAAGCATAGCCATCGTGGATGTCTGGTGGACGGCTGAGGGCGAGGCCTTTGGCCCGACAGCTGAGAGTTCATACAATACAAGAATCTTACAGAACAGAACATGGTATAGTAGAATCGAATATGGTCTAATAGAGTTAAATGAAGTATAGTATGATGTAGGGTTTCGAGGGTTTGGGCTCTTTCGGGGCCTTGGCTTTCGTGGGGTTTTCGGTTTAGGGTTTAGGGTCTGGGTATAGGGCATTACTGCTCACTTTGCGCCCTGAAGCCCGTCAGAGCTTAAATGAGAGCGAAAGCTTGTGCCTGAAGCCCTAAACCTTAAGGGTTTAGGGCTCATGATCCCTTTTGTAGGGTTTAGGGTTTAGGGCTCGTGATCCCAAGCCCTAAACCCCGAACCCCGAAGGCCTTGCTTCGCCCAAAGCCAAACCTGAAGAGCCCCAAAAGTCTTTAAAACCCAAGGCCCGCGAGGCCTTAGGCAACTCTACAGCACCTTCATCGATGCCTCCTAGAAGCCCTTGTAGAACCGTTACAGAACCCGTCTAGAACCCTTGCAGAACTCGTATAGAACCCTATCGATGGACTCCATGTCCACCCAAGCCGAAACCCGGAACCTGCAAATCCTACATCCTGAACCCTAAACCCCTAAACCCCAAACCCCTAAGCCCCAAACCCCATACCCTTAACCCTAAAGCCCTATAAACCCTAAACCCGAAACCCTAATCCCTATACTCCCAAACTCTAGTCCCTACACCCCTAAACCCTAAACCTAAATCCGAAACCCTCAACCCCGGTCATCCCTAAACTCTTCAACCCTAGCCCTAAACCCTTCACCCTAAACCCCTAAACCCTAAACCCCTCACCCTAAACCCTAAACCCGCCCTGCGCTTGCGTCAGGTTCGAAGTCGCCACGTCCTCGTTCCGGCCGCAGAGTTCACTCCAGAACCCGAGGCCAGGAATTCCCTTCTTTAAAGGGGTTTAGGGTTTAGGGTTTGGGGTTTCGGGTTTAGGGTTATAATGGGGTATTCTTGGGGTTCCCTTTAAGGGGTCTAGAGGGTTCTATAGTAGGGTCCCTCTATTTAAGGGGTGCGATAGGGTTCTGCAAGAGGGTTCCTTTTTGGGGCACTCTAGGGTTCTATAATAGAGTTCCTTTAAGGTTGGATAGGGTTCTATAGTAGGGTCCCCTTAAGGGTTCCCTTAAGGGAGGCCTTCTTAACGGGGGAGGGACGGGTCCTTGAAATAGTAACCCTCTTCCGGGTTCCCTTAAAAGGAGCCCCTAGAGGTATTCATGGGGCTTCCTTCAAGGGTGCAGGGTTGAGGGTTTAGGGTTTAGGGTTGAGGGTTTAGGGCTTGGGCTTCAAGGGATCATGTATGGGTTCCTTTGCAACTTCACGGATTCCTTCAAGGTTTCCGTAAAGGTTCCTTCGACTTCAAGGGCTCTTTTTTAAGGGTTCCGTTAAGGCTTCAAGGAGAAGTGGAGGGCTTTCGGCTCAGGGTATGAGGTCTATGGTGAGGCTCTCGCATGGTTTGTCCAGGCTGTAAGGCTTAGGGCTTGGAGTAGGGCTTTGGGTCTGTTTTTGTTTCGAGATTTTGGGTTTCGGGGTACTAGTACTCGTACTAGTACTAGTAGTACAAGTGGTAGTAGAAGTAGTGCCACTGCCACTGCGACTACGACTAGCACAACTACTAAGACTACGACGACCGACTACAACGACTACTATAGCGACTACGACTACTACGACCAGTGCGACGATCACGACGACGACGGTGACTACCACTGCTACTCTTGCTTCTCAACCTGCTGCTGCAGCAGCTGCTGCTGCTGTTGTTGCTGCTGCGAGTATGACTGGTACTACCATCACCCGCTAGCAGTCACTAACCGACGGTTTCTGCGACACCACGTGCGTGCATGTTTTCAGTCGTATATATGTGTGCAAAGCATAATGCAGATTTCTCGGTCTTTTTTAAACGCTGTTATGGAAAGAGACAGAGCAACGGGTCTTGCTGAGCGTCGCGCGGGGCTTTCGAGGCCGCCTCCTGGGCCAAGGATCGGAAAGACTTCGTGGTGAAGGCCATGCAGGCAGCACGGGGTTTTTTGGGGGTTAGGGCGTCTACAGTCACGGCTTTTGAGGGTTCAGGGTTTCAGGGTTTGGGAAGCAGTCACACAACCGACATCGCTGGTATTGATGGTGGTGGGAATCGGTATCGTGGTGGAGTGTGGTGGCCAATCGAAGAGAGCGATAATATTTAGGGGTGTCGTGGTCATAGTAACGGGGCTTAAGGCTTGGTGGTTTAGTTTGGGGTTTCGGGAATCAGCTGGGGAGTTTAGGGGCGCCAAACCGGGGTTCAGCGGTTCGTAGCTTAGAGTTCATGGTTCAGGAATCCATAACCGGCGAAAACGAGACCACAAGACACAATTGTTGGACCAGAAGTTGTCAACCTCACCCGCACAAACGCTCCATGTTCAACAAAGCAAGCACAACAAGTCTAGCGATTGCGGCACCCTAAAGCCACGATCTCTAATCCCGGACTCCTTCAAAATACTAGCCGGCCGAAGCCACAAACAGCTGACTAGCACATCCTACACCCCTGATGTGATATTGCAACATCTCTTGAACTACACTGTACATCTTCATAGCAACTTGATATGATTTGTGGAATCCACCTGGAGCCCTGAACCCTATTTCAGCTGCGCGGGCTCGGGTACCATCAGGCGACGATCACCGAGCTTCCTTCCAAGATGTCGACAAAGATGGTGAGGCTCTGCAGGGTCTCGGGGTTTAGGCTCTTTGAAGAGGACTCCGGGTCCTAGCTGAAAGAAGACCTTGGGTTTAGGGTTTAGGGTGTGGGGTTTAGGGTTTAGGGTTTAGGGTTTAGGGTGTAGGGTTTAGGGTTTAGGGTGTAGGGTTTAGGGTTTAGGGTTTGGGGTTTAGGAATGCTGTCAGGTCAGGCTAGGGACCCAGGCAGTGCCTTTGTAGTGGTGAGGTCTGCGTGTGCGCCAAGGCCAATCCAAACCCGCTCTGGCCGCAAAGTCAGAAGCCCTAAGCCCTAAAAGTCCGAAAGCCGCAGATACATGTTGCATGCTACTTACCTACCATATATATATATACATATATACATATATATATATATAATACTATACACTCTATACTCCAAGTTCTCTACTCCATACTGACTCTATGCCTAGAAGTCTTCAGCCTCCTCAGTCCATACTCTATACTCTATCCGCTGTACTCGTCGCTCTATACGACATCCGATTTTGCGAATTCCGATAGGAAGTTGCACCACATCCTACATACTATGATGTTAACGCCAGTGCAGCCCGTGCTAGTGCGAGTGCCAATGCTACAGCTAATGCTGATGCGGATGCCGGTGTGATAGCTAATGCTGATGCTCATGAAAACGCGAATGCCAATGCCAATGCGAATCCTAAACAGAAAACCCTATACCCTAAAACCCCAAACCCAAACCCCTAAACCCTAAACCCTAAACCCTATACCCTAAACCTTAAGCATGTGCAAGGTTCGAGCAGTCTGACCTGGCCGGGTTCCTCTTGGAGAAACTCAAGCGAGGCCAGGCAAAGCCGGGTACCCGGAAAGCAAAACTATACAACGACTGAGAGGCAAGCTGAAAGAAGAAGTAGTAGTAGTAGTAGTAGTAGTAGTGGTGGTAGTGGTAGTGGTAAGGGTAGTGTTAGTGGAATTGGGGAGTGGTAGTGGTAGTAGTGGTAGTAGTCGTGGTGGTAGTTGTTTCTTGTAGTGGATGCAGGAAAAGTATTTTAGTAGTTCTAGTAGTACTAGTATTATTCGTAGTACAAGTCGTAGTATTAGCTCTAGTCGTTGTGGTGGTCGTCGTCGTTGAGGTAAGCAGACGCACTGTTAGTTGGAGCTCCCATCACCCAGATTCGCGAAGAGTAGATGAGAGGACCTTTATTGAAAGCCTTCATGTAGGGATCGTACAAAGGGTTTTTTAAAGCAGAACCACCTTTGATTGAACGGAATTCCTATCTGATGCTCGCTGATTGGCTCCCAGCTTTGGTTTCGCGGAGCTGGGCTCCAGCTGTGACCTTGCTGAGTGTGGCAGGGCTGCGTGGGCCATGTCGAAGGCAGACCATGTTGCCGTGACTGGGTCCGTGTTAAGGAACTGCATATAAGTATAAGTAAGTATACAAGGCAATAGTAGTGTTCACTAGACATCTTCATTGTGGTCTCGTAATTTGCTCCCAGGTGAGCGCTTTTGGTTTGATGGACTGCGGCCGTGGGGTGCGTGGTGTGCTTTATGGTATCTGCTTTACCCTCCTCTTCCTCTGGGCCACTCTTGGCTACTTCCTGGTCTACATCCAGTATCTCCCACCGGATCCAACGGATGACTACTGTGGGATTACCGCCTTTCTGTGCCTGTGGCTGTCAGTCTTTGCATTTGTCGACAACCCCGGCGAGAAACGGACGCGCATCCAGAGGTGGGAGGAGACCGCCACCATGCCACGCTCCGGGGTCAGTTGTTTTTTGGTAGCAAGGCTTCCCTGGGCTGAACCGTTAATAGACCCTGAACCCGCGGACCTAAGCCAAAATTCCAGCTTCAAAGGTCGGGGTATTGCAGAAGTGCCACAGTAGCGACAGTAGCGGTAGTCATAGTCCGCCCCGCCGCCCTCGAGGAGTTCATTACCATGTGGGTGTTGACCAGTGGCCTTGCCCAAGTCTTCTGGGAGTTGCCCTTCGTCCTTTGGAAGGCAAGGTGTGGGGTCCTACTGTCATGATTGCCAGTGCAGTAATTCCGCGGTGCCTTGAGGATTCGCATGTGGGTTGAAAGGATCCGCAATCATGATGATAGTGAAATTCGAGTGATGACGACAGTCATCACCATCACCATCACCATCCCCATCCCCATCACCATCACCACCAGCATTACCACCAGCACATTATCGTCATCACCAAGCAGCATCAGGATGATCACCCTTGCCATCAGCAACATCATCTTCATCATCGAAGTGTAGTGAAGCCTTAGGGCTCCGGGCTTCTCGGCACATTTTTCACCATCAGCCGGAGAACCAAAGGGGAAGCAAAGGCCCGACTCAGAGGTGCGGTACTTGCAGCCCATCAAGTCCACAAAGACGCTCGAGGTGCCTTGCTATCGGAGGGGGGTGTCAACGATGGAGTCTGGTGTTTTCCATGCAGGCAGCCTTAGCAGCCCTACCCTTCAACCCTCACCCATACCTGAACCCCACAACCTGTAAACCCTAAACCGGCTGCAAAGGAGAAGCCAGCAATCTCTATCCCCAAGCCCTACCGGACAAGTCCCGCACCCCAACGACAACGGCGAAGCCCTCAGGCCTAAAGGCCCGCCTACGACACCAGAAACTCTTGAAGCCTAAATCCTGAAAGGCCCAAAGCCCCCAAAAAACAGATCAACAACAAATCCTAAGATCCTGAAGCTCTGAAAGTCTTCCCTAAACCCTAAACCCTAATCCCTAAACCCTAAACCCTCTGAAAGTACAGGTAGATGAGCTCTGGGCCTGGCCTTTCTGGATGTGCCCCGGCATCCGTGGTGAGGGAACCCCTAATCGCCTTAAACCCTAAACTTTCCTAAACCCTAAGCCCTAATAAACCCTAAACTTTCCTAAGCCCTAAACCCCTAAGCCCTAAACCCTGAACCCTAAACCCTACTTAGGGGTTGAGATCTGGGTTCTTTGTTTCCCGACTAGGTTTTGGGTTGGGGCTGAGGGTATGAGGAACCTTACGTATGAAGTCCCACAGCAGTTCTCCTCCTTGAGGGACGCCGACCTCATTGTGAATATCCAGTACTTTGCAATTGTCGCACTTGATAGAGCTGTGCTCCTGCCACAGTCCCGCGTTCGCACGCTGGCGAAAATCGAAATGGTACGGTGCCGTGCATGCATCTTCCCCCTGCAGTCCGGGCTTGTGCTCCCGCCACAGTCTCGCGTGTGTGGGGCAGTGCGCATGCTGCGAGTCTCAGCAATGCCTCTGGAGTAGCTTTCGGGACTGTAGGGTTTGGGTTTGGGGTCTATGCATCCGAAATCTTCGAGTTTAAGAAGCAGATCACCCTAAACCCTAAACCCTAAATCGTGGTGTTTCGATGCCTTTAGGTACGGATCCGGCGACACCCGCTACATGCGACAGCATTCCTCCTCGCACGCCACAGAGACGATGCTAGTCCTCTCCGGTCCTTTCGAGCTCGCGGCCGTTGCCATGTTCAAGGCTTGGCTCTTTAGGGTTCGGGGTTTAGAGGTTTAGGGTTTAGGGGTTTAGGGTTTAGGGTTTAGGGTTTATAGGGTTTCTAGGGTTTATAGGGTTTTCACTCTTTGAGGGTTCCTTACATCTGCAGATGGGGGGTTACTTGCCTCATCGAGGGCTCCTTGCAAAACGGACTCCACTGCGTACGGTCCAGACCAGGGTAGCTTGTTTTCAGGAGCTTCCATGTAAGCTCTGGGGTTCAGGCCTCGCAGATTTGAGGGGTCTGCTTGGGCAGAGCTGGGCCAGTCAATGCTTGGATTTCAGACGGGATTCGAGTATGGACCGGAATTAGTCTACAAGGACCCCATGTATGGAGTATGACATATTACACGTATATTCATTTGCATTTATTTCGGTATTTCTTCATGTCTTCGTACCTAATTACGTTTGTATATGTATGTCTATCTATCTATCTATCTATCTATCTATCTATATATATATATATTGATTGACTTACTTCTACCCTTGTATGTACATCTACCATAGATCTTGCTAAGCCTGTAGCCGCCCGAAACTCAGAAACAACGGGTTACGGCAGACGCTTAGTTGGAGCTTGGGCCATTGCAGGCGCGTCGACACTACAAAACTGCCCTCCTGACTCCTGGTCGATGGCTTCGGGTTCACTGTTTAGGGATCGTGAGCATAGGTTTCACAGAGATTTCGTGAAGCATTTCGGAAGCAGAACAGGCCCCGGCGTAATCTATTACAGTATGCTACTAGTACCTATTCAAATACACGACCACCTACCATAGACCAAACTATACTACAACGTACTATACTCTACTACAAACTACCGGAGTATACCGTAACAGAATGAATTGCGATTATATACACGAGTGGTAGCCTGCTCGGCTCGCGGCTCATCTGGGCTTTAAGGGAAAAGTCGGCGGCCTGAGGCGTGAGAGGGTTTGGGTTACAGGGGTTTACGGTTTGGGCTTTAGGGGCTTTGGGTTTAGGGTTTAGGGTTCAGGAGTTTATGGGGTCGTGTCTAGGGCGATATCGGAGACACAAAGAAGTATACAAACATGCGGTGGAAGCCCCTTATGGGGATATTGCTTTTAATTAAGAAGTTTATTCGTTGTGTCGCATAGGTCGTCAGGATTGGAGCGCGCGAGAATCTAAGGATTTCGGCCCTGACTCATTGGGGTTTCTTCTGGGCGAACACCTCCGTGATCTACATCGCCGAGATCTACGACAACTACGAGAATATCACCGACGGCTGGGCCGGATATTGGGTGAAGTGGGCGGGTCTCAACTTACAATGGCCACTCAGTTTATCCATCGATTAGGTTTAGGGGTCTAGGGTTTAGTATATCATGTCAAATTGCTTGGACTGCTGTACCTATCACGTGCTACAGGAATGTGCTTCTTAGTTTCGAAGTTCCGCAGTTTATGGCGGATAGGCCATATGCCAGTTACCGCTGCCCCCATGGCTTGCATGGCTTGCCATGCAGCGGCGCCGATAGGGTTTACCACCGAGCCATCGAACTCACGGATAAACAACTTCAGCCCGAAACCTTAATAACTAAAAAGCCCAGGCGCTTTAAAAAAACTCTGGAATCCTGCACCCTGGTATCTGGGAAAAAGCTCAGGTCAGTTTTGAGTCCGATTTGTACATTTGCCTCCCTTTGGCTCCTTTGCGGAAAGGTGTGACTTGGCTTTGCCGTGGCACGCAGTTTTGGTCGCTCTGGGGGTTTACAAGCTTTCGGGGTTCGGCAGTTTTGGTTTGTTTTTTTTTCTACGGTTTTAGGGGTTCGGTAGTTCTGGACCCAAGCGTGTTTGGGATCATGGCATCTTGTTTATAGCTTCTTGTCGTTCTTGTCTATTGTAGTTCACCGGTGATTTTAGATAGTTTTGCTTCTTGTTTGGGCTTGAGATCGTTTGGCATTTAGTTTGAAAAAAGCCTTTGTGGAACCCAGGCGGGAGGAGACAAGATTTGAGATGTCACTGAAGGGTGATTGACCCACGAGTGGCAGTGATAAATCGACCGCGCAGAAGAGAAAATATTCTGATCTCCATGTCTCTCAAGCTTAGGCCCTTAATGGTTTAGGATTTAGGGTTTAGGATTTAGGGTTTAGGGTTTAGGGTTTAGGATGTAGGGTTTAGGGTTCATTCTCTAAACCCTCAACCCTAAAGCGCTGATACCCAGTTGCAGCCTCGAGCTCGAAAGCTGAGTTTGATTTTATAGGCAAGCTCACCGAAGTGAGCCTCACTCATTCCGGGACCCTCAGGTCGACTTCCCGCTTTGTTGGCGTCGGATTCAGGTTGACTCTGCAATCCCAGCACCCTCACAAGAAAGCCTTGCGAACCCCTTGAGCCTGAAGACTCTTGAAATCTGGGAGCCTGATACCGGCCCCCATACCCCCTGTACAGCAACGAACAGTGTACGAGATTTTTGATGCCTGCTGCATCTTTATACGAAGGCTGGGACCTCAAGTCACAGAAACTTCAAAACTATGGAGCTGACAGCCTCAAAATCCCACCCCCTTCCCCGTGGGAAGCCCTGTCACCGAACCCGGAGCCTTAACATTGGTATAGTCATGATAACTGCCAGCCGTGCTTTCATTATCATCATTGCTGCTACGGCTAAGTGGTGGATTGGCTGTGTGGCCCTGCTCAGTCCTTTTCAGAGAGAGTGCCGCACATACTATATTTGGGACCTAAAGCCGGCACAAGTTTAGAGAACTATCCTTATAGTACCCTTATATAACCTTAAACCTTATAGAAGCCCTTATAGATCCCTGTAGGGAACATTCAAACCCTTATGGCCACGGAAGTTTAGGCCTTAGTGGGGGGAGTTTCCGTTGCAGGCCTGCAGCAGCACGGTGCAGAGGTGGCGGTCATGCACCTGGCCGGATTGGACCTATGCAGATGCCTTGTACCCACCCCGTTTAGGGTTTAGGGTATTGGTCCAACATAGCTAACCGCAACATGTACAAAGACAGACAGATTGAGTCATTATACTTGTCCGCATCGGAAGGATGGTACTTACTAGGGGGGAGTCTAGGGTCGACTTCAGGCTCTTCCCTGAAGCCTCAAAATGACAGCTCCAAATCCCGAAAGCTGTAGAAGGACTCCAGCGTAAGCCTAAGCCCTACACCCTAAACTA